TATTCGGAATATGATACTCTTGCACAGTCAACACATCCATATGATAGATGAAACTCTTGTTTTTTCTTTCTCTTATGTCAGCATACAAGGTAAGCTGGGTTGGATATATATTGAAGGACAACAACTCAAACTTTCACAGGCACTGGCATTGGTGTAATTTTATAATACAGTCTTCAAGGCATTGTTAGATTAATAAATACAAAAGAAAAAAAAAAAAAAAAAGAAGAAAAAAAAAAAAAAAAGAAAAAAAAACAGAAAATAATACCCCGAAAAAGGTAAGCTACTGTAGGCAAGTTGGTTCTTCCCTAAAAATGTTTCTTTTGTATTTTCAATGCATATGTAATATTTTGGTTTTAACCCATACCACAGACAATTGATCCAAAGGGAAATTTGTCTATGCAGTGGGTATCCATTTGGAGTTTCCCTTGATTTTGCATACAGTTACATGCATATCTCATTAGTTTGTGTTTTGTGTATTTCTTTTTTTTTTTTTGACCTCTTAAATTTTGACTGAAATCATCAATAAACGTGTTAAGATAGCGTTGTCTTCAGCGATAGACTCAGGGTAATGGTTTCTTGAGTCGTATTCTCGGTGGCACATCCACCTATTGCATGTTGACAGGTTTTGCATGAGATACAGTGCCAATCGTGGGGTGGGGTTGGGTTGGTTTGAGAGAGGGTGAGGGTAGTGAGCGGTGGGTTTGTAGGCTCATGGGGAGATCAGGCGTGAAGGGTGGGGTGGGTGGGGGGTGGGGGGCTTTGTCAGGTTTTTTGTATGCCGAAGGAAGGGGTTCGGGGTTGTCAGTCCAGACGACAGCCTTTGAATCTTTGCAGACTGAGTGTGGTGCCTGGAGTTAGTCTGTTTTTTAATTGTCCGTCCTCCTCCCACATGGTTCACTGGTCTGGAAAAAGACAATAAACTTTGTTAGGGCAGGATTTTGGGTCCAAGGACTCGATTGCAATGTTGCTATTAACAGTCTGCTGTTGTGAAGTTGTTACATGTTCGTCAGAAAAATACCAGGGATTCGCTCAGTAGATGCTTTCAAAACACGATGGCAGCGGATTCTTGTAAAGAAAATCTTTCCGGGGAAACCGGAAAGTGCCGCCCTCTAGACACTTAAGAAGTCCGTTGCCTCAATCTGTCTTCACGGCTACTGATCAATGCTGTGTCTCCTGTTCTTGTGGGGATTATCAGAAATGTAAATGTGTGGGGGTTGCAGCCAAAATGGAGGAATTTGGGAGTTGCAGTGCATTTCAGAGACAGAGGGGGGGGTTGAGAAATCAGTGATTAACTGCTCAGGTGAAAGTGCAATTGCTGCCATATTTGCCCCTCTCCTCTGACGGTGACGTAAATGAAGCTGCGGTTGTCTTTCCTCTCTTTGTTGCAAGAAAACAGCCCTGCCTCAACTTTTTTTTTTCCCAGGGCACACCTACTATGAAAATACTCCAGAAATGCTTGATTTCCTCCATGGTTTCCAAAAAACCCCCCACAGCGCTCCACCTTCGTCCTTCCTCCTTCCTTCCCTCCCTTCCTCATCGTTGAGGAGATAGGGAACGAGGGGATGGGTGGGGAGGTGCGTGGAGAAAGCCCTCTTTTCTGCCATGACTGAGCCTTGGTGGTGATAGCCATCATGCAAAGTATGGAGCACTGACAGGAGTGTGGTGCATGTAAATATATACGCCTACTGTTGCTTTCCTATGGAGGAAAAATGTCGAGCGGAAATGTTGGACGCGTGTGTGGGTGGGGAGGGAGCTGATGACAGGCCAGCCCGCAGCACTGAGGATTTGCAATAAGCCAGATTGGCACACGCACATCTGGCCCATCACTGAACAAGCATCTGTCCGCCCCGGCCTGGCCGTTAGGTCGAACATCCAGCACCGGGTGAGCGAGGAGTCTGTGAGTTTGGCGTGATCCGTATCCTACCGTACCTTAATGGGGCCATCCACTGGGTCCAGTCCCTGCTCCGACAGCTGTTTCAAGGCACTTAGAGCAGCCTGAGAAGAGAGGGAACAACAGATGGTCGAGTGAGCGAGGGAGGAGGGAGGGAAGGAGAGAGGGAGATTGGGTGGGAGGAGAGTGAGTGTCACCCTTCAGCTGCTTTTCAAATAACACTTACTCTGGGAAACCTGATGCCAGCAGGACACTTTCCCTTCGCTCTCTGTTGTCTTTGGCTCCTCTCCGCTGACTGTTTATCTAGCGTTATTGGGTTAACATTTCCACTTTATGTTTTGGCTTTTTCCTAAGTCAGTCGGAGTGACATCTCTATTCTCGGTGACCACAGCTAAACAAATAGCGTCAGGTCTGATATACCTGGAAATCATAAACGTAGCACAAGAAGCAGAATTATTTAATCCGAGTAGCCCAAAACCCCTCGCTTAATAACCGTAAGTGAAAATAGACGTGTGTGTGTAACATTAGTATTGTTAATTATGTAATAACTTAATTATGTCTACATTTGTGGTTGAGAGGGGGAAGCTTTAGGTGCAAAATGGCACTTCTGAGCACTATCAAGGAAATAGCTTTAAATCTACTGCGTCTTCACACTCACAACCAGCCATGTGCAGCAATGTAATGCCATGTCATTAAAAAAAAAAAAAAAAAACTACATCCAATCTATATTTCCATGAATTCAGCTGAAATAATTCTCTGATGCCTTGTGCCAAGCCTCAATCAAAACTGCCATTATGTCATTTCCTTCCTGCTCATCGCCCGCCTGTCTGTCTGTGCCAGCCAGAGGGGCTGGTGGTGACGTGAGGAGGGTCCGGTCTGCTATCATAATATGCAACATGTGTGGGCGTCGAGAGGTGTAGTGTAGACTGACACACATGCTATGTGAAGTGGGACTGTGAGATAAAATAAAATAACAAACGAAAACCCGGAGAGGCAGAGGTTGTTTTAAGGAAATCTTCTTGACATTTTGTGACAAGGTCATTTTGAAGTGCGGCGCTCAGGCAACCGCTGAGCTAAATCGCTGTTACCAAACACAATTATTGTCACAACCAGAAACCACTTGTGGACCACTTCTAGAAAAAAAAAAGAGAGAAGTTTAAGAGTGCCAGAAACGAACTGGTCAATCTGATCTTAAACCACACTGCAGGTCCGATCCTGACACAGATCCTTCCACGATCCTAAAGATTGGCTCCAGATGTGTTTGCCCTCTCTCCCTTTTTCTTAGTCGGTCGGTCTCTGCTGAGTTGGAGCAGAGGGTGTAAGCTGGGGAATACATCTCCCAGCTAACCATCATGAGTGACCCTAGATACTAACAGTTAAATGTAAAAACTACACATTCAGTGTGTTTCTCATTCCGTATCTGAGCAATAAGAAGTTATTGTGCTACCATGCGGTCTAACAAGGATTTAAAATGTCTCCACCAACTGTTTTAATTGGGTGCTTACAGTTGTTTGTCAGTGTGGTTGTCACTGGTTTCAAATGCTAGACAATTCATTATGGAAACATTTCACATCATGTGACACAAACA